TTCACCTATAGTCAATCATAACTCGAAATGAACCAATCATAAAGGGGAAAATAAAGAAGACCCAATCACGGGAAAACTGGTAATCGATGCGACACGCGGGAAAACTTGCAATTAGTGCTAAGAGCGGGAAAACATGCAACTAGCGCTAAGAGCGGGAAAACAGGCAACAGGCGAAAGCTATCAAGTCACTACTGCTGTAAGCTCTGCTCTTGATTAATTGAAAACAAGTATGTTTGCGCTGGTGGATTAGAGCACAGGTCTTGGATAACACCACTCTGATTGCTTAGGGAAAGTACGTGGCGACGCAAAAATCCATCCACTACAAAGTTACCGTTACGAAAGGTCTCCTCCAAAACCTTGCCATAGCCGCCTGGCTGTTAGCCGTGTTGACGCAGATTACAGCTTTTACCATGGCAGTGGTTGGGGTGGACCGCGAGATTTTGCAAATCAGGCACACTGGAGAAACTACCGTGGGACTCAGTTGTTCAATAGCTATTGTTTGCTTCAACATCATGGTGTACCGTTGAAGTGTGCAAACGTCAAATGAACGAAATCAGCCAAGTCAAAGCTGTGATAAAAACAAAACTTGAATCTAAGGTTGCCAAGACGACTCAGACTTTGCTAACAGCTTAGTTTGAACCAAATCACATGGAAATGTCAGCGATTTTCAGGCAAAGTGTAAACTGCTTGTAAAATAAGTTATCATAATTTATGCCTTAGGTTCGGTACATGAAAAGTTCGACGTCGATCCAAATAACATCTGTCGAACGAATTTAAACGTCGATCGATGTACTTAATTGGGGCTTTTAGGTTCGGCTCATCATGAAAAGTTCGACGTTTGCACCGGGCCTTAAACTCTGTAATAAGCCCGGCGATGTTGTACTGGTACACTAACAGAGACCGCCAATTACGAAAGGCTGTGCCTTCGTCCATCTAAAGTGCAATGATCCATGTGCAGTTGTATGTTACGTAAGGCGACGAAAACTAACTGCTGCGTTGGGGGGCGGGGGCAACTGATACCTCCGGGCACTAGACAGGCAACTCTTTTCCAACTTGACAAGCAAGGCCTACTCCAAAGCATCATTTAATACCTGAGTACAGGGTCGAGACCTTGTACCCGGGCACGGGCACTGTGCCCCAATTCTGGTGTGAATACTTGGAAAAAAAAGGTGTGTTCACATTAGTTTCCAGCCAGAATTCTACTCTGGTACCGTGCTTGGTCACCAAGTATGAAAATAACCTGCCTGTCAACCCTCACATCGTGCTCTTTTGACGCTGCTTGTGAATTTACGTACAGCAGTAGTGTCTGGAACTGTTCAAACAGCAAGAGATCAAATAGACTGTTCACAGCCTCTCAATTTTCAACGTACTCGAAAGAAAAAGCGAGCGAAGAGAGCGCGAAGCACAAGGAGGGGGGGGGGGGGCAGGGGGGCTTCCGTTTTGAGTTGGCATCCATTTTTCTCGCGATTCTATCCACGCGTTCAACGATCGAATAAAAATACGATAAAATAGAAGGCTGTAAACAGTTTAAAGAGCAAAGATTGCTAGTTATTCAGTGAGATAAAGTTAAGAATTTGATATAAACCAGTTAAAACTTGTCAAAAACCAGTATTTAAAATTATTCGTCGCTGGTCGAGGGCGGCGGCTGTTCAAACGATCGATCGTAAAAGCTAGCGAGCAGAGTTTCCCTCTCGTCTCTCACCGAGCAGACAGAGAAGGGAATCTCTGTCTCTCAGGATATTGGGCTTCAGGTTGCGGGAAGAAAAAGAGGGGGGTTCGTACTGCTATTATATACTATGAAGTTAATTGAAGATCAGACATTTCTGTCATTAAAAATATAGATCACTCAAGAGTTCTGTTCACATTTCCTTCATTTCCATATAAGGTTGAAAACTATTATGGCCGACAATCAATTTCTCGGGGCATATTTACGCAGATAGCCTACCTGAAATAGATTACCGAAGGACACCACGGCAAAAATATCACTACAGTTTGCTTTGAAAACGAACGTTGGCAACTATTTTTGAACAATCTAGTCGCTGCTTGTCCGTAGGAACGAGTAATAAAAGACAGATTCGTACCTTTAATTTTGCGCCAGCTGGAGCGAAACGAATGAATTTATCTATTTACGTTTTGCGCAATTTCCATTCTTGGCATTTCTGTCTCACGCGCCCGACTGTCAAGAACTGTACAGTCAGCAAGTGAAACAACTGTTCATCGCAGAAGTCGCACTGCTTCAACTACATTGGCAAACATGGCGGAAAGCAAAGGAAGAGCTTATGGCATGTCTGCAGATGTCCAACGAAGGGTAAAACTGAAACTCTATT